ATGAGACGCCTTGACCTGCTGACAGGTATCGCACGACGCGATCCTCCTCAATGTCCGCTCCACCCCTGAGTGCCCTCCAAATGGCGAGTCATGATACTCCTGCAGCACGGTTGTCACCACTGAAGAGCCCGGCGGAAGAACAATGCGTCCGCAGAAGAATACGAGCCCCTGTCTGAAGGAATAGTGACCTGGCACCTCACTGACTGCTGTATCCCAATAACCCTGCAAGTAGGTATCGGTATCGGTGAGAGCGCGTAACGCGTCCCTGAATTGGGGAACTGGCCCCGTCACTTCTGCAAGTAACTCCCCTCCCGAGCGTCGTGAGAGCCTGTCGGCCACGACGTTGGAGTGCCCTGGCCGATAATGAATCTCGTAGTCATGCCCAAGGAGCATCGAGAACCACTTGTGCTGTTCAGGAGTGGACACTCGCTGCTCCAAGAGATTCACATACTCTGGTGATCGGTATAGATGTGGAACTTCTGGCCCAGCAGGTACGGTCACCACATCTGCACTGCCGTGATAATCGCCTACATCTCCTTCTGATAGGTAGACCAAGCCTCCTTGGACGGGGCCAAGGTCTTACTCATATAGGCCATCGGATGACGATCCTGGGAGAGCACCGCCCCAATGCCCCGGCCTGAAGCATCGGCCTCAATCACAAAGGTCCGGGAAAAATCCGGCATGGCTAATGTCGGGGTGTTTGTCATAGCCTGCTTAAGATGCTGAAATGCCCTGTCTGCTTCCTGTGACCACGCAAATCCGCCCTTCTTTAACAAGTTAGTCAAGGGCAGGGCGATCATGTTGTACCCCTGCACAAACTTCCGGTAGTAACCGGTCAACCCCAGGAACCCCCTCAGCTCTGAGACAGTGGTCGGGGTTGGCCACTCGACCATAGCCTGAATCTTTGATTGGTCCACCTGGACCCCCTGTGGTGTGACAATGTGACCCAGGTACTCCACCTTTTGTACCCCGAATGCACACTTCGAAGCTTTGAGGTAGTACTGGTGGTGCCTCAATATCTCAAAGACTGCCTGCAAATGCTGCAAATGCCTCTCCCAAGAGGGACTGCATACTAGAACGTCATCAAAGAATACCAGCACGTACCGTCTCAGCAGTGGTCGAAAGATGTCATTCATCGCCGCCTGAAAGGTCGATGGAGCATTGCACAAGCCGAAGGGCATGACCAAGTACTCATAATGGCCATTATGCGTCCTGAAAGCGGTCTTGTGCGCATCCTCCTCCGTCATCCGAATCTGGTGGTACCCAGCTCATAGATCGAGCTTGGTGAAATAGGCCGACCAGCTCGTCCAGCATATCATCCACCGTCGGGATTGGAAATTGATCCTTCACTATCGAGGCATTGAGCGCCCTATAATCAATACAGAAGCGCCAAGTGCCATCCTTCTTCTTAACCAGTAGCACCGGCGAGGAAAAAGGGCTGGTGCTCGGCCGGATCAATCCGGTCGCTAGCATCTCCTCCACCTGTCGCTCGATTTCCTCCTTCTGGGAGTGGCCGTACTCCACCCCTTCCTTGCGCTGAATGCGATGATCAACCTGCCGGTTCGGTGGCAATGTGGTCGGCGTCTGAAAAAGCTCCGAAAAACCAGCCAGGACCCGCTGGAGATCGGGGGCCAGCTCCTGGTCCTCAGTCGATGCCACCGGCCATCACATGACCGCCAACTCCGCTTCCTCCCCGGTGATGCACTCATGGAGAGAAACCGGTCCCAGGGCCGTGGTAAGCCCCTGCAAACACCACTCCTTGTCTCGACATTTGAACCTCATCGTTAAGCTACACCAATCGATGGTGACTGGTCCCAATCCCTGCAACCATGGAACACCCAAAATCATGTCAAACCCGCGAATGGGCAGCACAAACACATCCGCGGTAACGGGAAGCCCTTGAATCTCGAATGGCAGCTCCCGATAGACAGTCTTGCACTGCATAGGTGCTCCATTAGCTACTCGAACTACCATCGGGTCCACCAAGCTCGGGGTTTGTGGAAGAAGCTTAGCCAGTTCCTCGCTGATAAAATTCAGGGTGGCACCACTGTCCACCAGGGTCAAAGCCAAGGTACTGGCAACCTAAGCTCGGAATCGGAGAGTTCCGGGTGTCTGCAGCCCGGTCACAAAATGAAGAGAGAGCGAAGGAGTCGTCCCCTACCCTGCCGCTTGCTCGGCCGCCTCGCCGCCCTCCGACGCGCTCGGCGTCTCGCGCCGCCCGGCCGCCCTCTCCGCCTACGGCCACCTCCGCCGCTGCGCCTCCTCGGCGACCGAGTCGCCCTGAGCGCCCCCATCAGCAGCGCCCCGCCCGCGCGACCGCCAGCCACCGTCGGCGCTCCCGGCCCGCTGGCCGCCCCCACTGGCGGCGCCTCCGACCGCCCCGTCGCCGTTGCAGACGCCGTGCCTCTTCCCTGTTCGCTCGCGACGCGGGCTTGGTCAGCCCTGATGGCGTCAATCCGTTGTTGCACACTAGTCCAGTCCATATTAGAGAGCCGTATCGAGCTCATTGTGGCTCTAATACCAATTGATAGAGAAGAGTAGGGTTGGGAATTGAGAAGAATTGTGGCTCAGTTATGGATAAGCTCATTTCATTTGGCTGAAGGAGTCGAATGGTACCTATTCGGTAAAGTCTGGGTATCATAGTGCTGTTTGGATTAAACGTGACAGTCCAAGATGGAAAGAGGATGTCTCGTTTTGGGATATGAGTTTCTAGAAAAAGATATTGGGTTTCCTGATTCCACCAAAGCTTAAGTTTTTTCTCTCACAGTAATGAGGCGTATTCTACTGACTATGGAAGCTTTGAAGGAGAAGGGAGGAGTGGTTCCACTTCGATCTCCTGTCTACTGGGGTCCTCTAGAGTCTTTGTGAACATTTATTCCTATACTGCAAAGTGGTGGAAGAATTGTGGGTTGGAAGTGGCTTGTATGAGGTGCGACAAGGTTTGGAAGGGTTAAATATGCCTTAGTTTTTAGACGTATTATGGAGAGGAATGCATATCCAAAGAGGATTATGTAGATTGTTGCATTACTGTGACGAATCTGGAAATCTAGAAATTGGGTTGTTTTTTGTATCATTTGCAGTATAATATAAGTACATTGCTTCGTCAGTATCATAGTCAGGTCAGAGAATGGGTAGATTTACCGGATCCTGGTGTGAGGAGATGACAAATGAAGTTGGTCAATTAATAGAGGTGGGCTTGAATACTCCTTATGTTTGCTTTGTCGATGGAGTGGTTAGATCGGGTTCTAATACATCAGGTGGGATTCTTATGCGGGACTATGAGGGTACTGTACTTTTTATGCAAGGATTTGTTTATGTTGGTTTGACGGATCCATATCTGAGTGAATTAATGGTCTTTCGGGATGCGATTTGGTGGTGCTCTCTAAAAGGTCTCACTAAAGTCACGCTTCTGGGCGATGATAAGGCTATTATTTCCAAAATTACGAATCGGGAAATTCGAGATGGGAAAGGAGGTGCTATTATTGAAGAGATATCCCAACTCCGACAAGTGTTTTCCATTTTTCAATTGCTTTTTGTGGTAGGCAAAAACAATATAGCATCTCATTCGTTAGCCAAAAAGGCTTTTTTAATTTCTTGTGGATATGAGTGGTTTCGATTTTAGTGTTCGGTTTGTGTGTAGGTTGTAAACATTGGTATCCCAAAGTTTATAAGGGTGCGTTTGGATAGGTGTATTTCAAATGTAAAGTATTTGAAATGTATGTTTTTAAAATGCATGCATTTGAAATACATGTAATTCAAATTCCTTGTTTAGATACTCATTTGTATTTTGTTTGTATTTTAAATTTCAAGATTTTTTATTTAAATTTTGAACTTCTGGTCGTTTACTAAAATTTTAATAAATTACAGTTTGGTACTCAAATATATTTTTCCTTACAGTATAGTAACTAAACTTTTAAAATTTTACAAAAAGTCCAGAAATTTTGATGATAAAATTACTTTTGGGTACCTTTATATGTTTTGCCTCACACTATAGTACCTAAACTTTTAATATTTTACAAATAGGTTCAATTTTTTGTTAGGAGGTATTTCAAATCACTAGTTGTTGAAATGTATTTGAAGTTGACAAGTAATACACTAGACATGTATTTGGAAATCGCCCCATGAATTTGGCACAAATCCAAATACAAAATGTAATTAATATCCAAACACATGATTTGACATTTAGAAATCCAAATTACAAATTACAAATACCAAATCCAAATCATTCTATCCAAACACACACTAACGTAAATGCACGTTATCACAGAGTCATGTCTCGATCCAACAATAGAGGTACAAGTTGCCGCCGACTCTGTGATCGTGGGCCAATTTTAGACGAAAGACGAATGAAGATTGAAGGGCAGAAGAAAATTTCTGTAATATACCGATTCGATCTGAGATCTTGGAATTGGAATAAGTTCGACAGCGGATCACGAAATCTTGGTGATCTTCTCTATCTAATGAATGGGGAGTCCAGTTTGAAAGCGTCTGCCATGCAACCACCCCCGGGTATATGCTTCAATAGGAATTACACATGATATAATAGAAACCTCGGACCCTCCAATAAGTCTATTGGAATTGGCTCTGTATCAATGGAATCTCATCATTCATACATAACGAATTGGTATGATATATTCATAACATAACATATGAACAGTAAGAACTAGCATTCTTATTGAGACTATAACTTATAGGGAAGAAAATCCTTTTCGGATGGTAAATATTTCTCAAAACATGGAGTGTGAATAAACCCATGTTTGAAGTGAAATTGAGATACTGATGCAAGTTCTCCCCTTCTGAATCAGATAGATTCATATCCGAAAGAGGTTGACAATAAGTTCTTTCAAAATTGACTATTTGTCCCTCTATTAGAGGTGTTCCAGAAATTTCTGCGATCGAATAAATAGCTCAACGAACGAACGGGTCGGATCGAATTGAAAAATGGAAAGATTTGTACAAGTTAGACCTTTTGTGATCGACGAAGCAAATAATATTTTCGTTCCAATTTTTTCCTTTTCTTTTCACGCTGAATCAAACTTTCTGTTGCCATAATCTTTAACTCCTATTAGTATCGCTAATACAAGTTGCATCCTAGATGTAGAAATAGAAAAAAATTTGCAAGAACGATATTACCATGGATACAGAATTATCCAAATTTGCCCAATGTCGAGGCAATCAAGAAGGCCGCCTAAGTAAAGATATATCCTACGGAAAAGTGGGTTAATCCAACCAATCTTGCTTGCACAATTGAAAGAGCTACTGGATTATCCCTCAAGGACCTTTCCCTAGTACGAGAGGACCGAGAAAGACGCACCTCTGGTGTACCAGTTATCGTGCCCATGGTAAACGCTGGGTAGCCAAATGCGGAGCGGATAGCTACTGAAAGCATCTAAGTAATAAGCCCACCCCAAGATTAGTGCTCTCCTATTTCGACTTCCCCAGAGCCCCTGGTAGCACAGCCGAGACAACCACCAATAAGAAAAAACTTTAACTAACAAACCTGGCCGAGTATGAGGCAGTGACTAGCTGGCAAATCGGTTGTCGGTTGTCGGATAATCGGTCGGTTACAACTGAAACCGGTCGATTATTTTGTAACCGAAAATCGGGATAACCGAAGGCGGTCGGTGTTCGGAGGCTCGTCGAGAGGGGTAGGATAGCCGAGTAACCGACCGCAAAAACCGTCAGTTAGCCGAGTAACCAACGGCAAAAACCGTCAGTTAGCCGAGTAACCGAACCCTCTCACCAACACTCCAACCCCCCCCCCCCCCCCTCCCCCTATGTGCAAGCCCAAACCTGAAACTAGCCCCTTCTGCCCCCATCTCCCTCATCAACGATCTCCCTTTTCGCCGCCTCATCCACCAAATCAGAGACCACCGCTACTAGAAACCTTCCCCAGACCCTGTCGACCTCCGCCTTCGCCTCCGCTCGCCATCTCCCCCAATCTCCACCTCCGCTCGCCGCTTCCCCGAGCTCCGCCTTCGCATCTGGATCTAGTAAAAGGAAAGAAGAAAAAAAGAGATGGAAAAGTAAAGAAGGTGGAGATGAAAAGAAAGAAAGAGACAGAAAGGAAAGGAAGAGAAAGAGACAGTTAAGGGAAAGAGACGGAAGGGTTTCCTTTCCTTCGCTTTATTTATAAAAAAAAATTCAGAACGAAGCCCATTCCATCCTTGCTCGGCTAATCGAGTCTAAACCGAAACCGACCTATCAATTGGTCGGCTAATCACTTCTTCGGCTCTTCTCTCATGGTCGGTGGTCGAGAGCCATTATATTTGTAGGTGGTCGGCAGCTATTGAAAGTGGCTCGGTTTAACCAATAACCGAGAATTCAATTTTCGGTTAACCCAAAACAGACCAACTGACAACCCTAACAGTGACCAACGGAATCAGTGAATCCCAGAGAGCTTAGACACCCAGGAATTTTGTCAAAATGAGTACCAACCAATCAACGGTAACCTGTAACTGAAGCTTTCATAGACTAAGCTTTATTATTTTTCATTTAACGATTCACTAGTTGTTGCTTACAGAACCATTGAAATTTGAATGTACAAAAGCTTCAAATCCTTATTTAAGAAGGAAATAAAAAATAATAAGTGGGGATCACAAATTCACAATTGATACCCCATTTCTGTGAGTCTGAGCTATGAATATTGAATACACTCGGGGAAGACAAGAGGGAAGAACAAAAAAAAAATAGAGGGATTGACCGAGTACCCTTGAAAATTATAAGGACTAAATCTGCAAATTCTGATCCTCTGTACAGTCAAATCCGTCCTTTTCAAACTATGAGATGATCTTAAGAGAATGAAATGGGTAAAATAAACTAAAAGGATAAAGGAAAAGTTAACTCATGCAGGGAAGATGGAGCATATATCATGCAGCATTCCTCACTATCCTCACATTGCTGTAGAGTCGCTTCAGCTCCTTCATTGCCTTCTCCTCGATCTGAATCGACCTGAGAGACGACGGTGCATCAACCTCTGGCTTAAACCACTTGTTCATCCCAGGAGAATCCAATGGGGAACCCTGACCCGTGGTGATTGCAAACCCAGTTGTGCTGGTCTTGGGACTATGGCAAATGTTTTGATGCTGTTTACCCTTCTGTGAGAGAAACCAATTGTTAATACAAAACCCACCCCCGCATAATGTTTCCACTATATAGAAAGCAGATACCAAAACAGAAGTACCTGCTGCATCTGGATGTCTCGTAGAGATGGACGAGACATGAGAGGAGAAGTCCCAGAAACCCAGGGAGGGGTGCCCTTGTCGACATCAGAAGTAAGGGATGTGGAGGGTGGAGCCATAGGTATAGGTTTGGAAGAAATGAATGCGCTCAGGGATACCTTTCCATCACCCTTACTCTCCTCAACCAGAGTATTGTTCTTTGGATTGCTGCCCAGAGTCTTACTTTGCTCGTCCTGAATTGCACGAAGTGAGGAACGACCTTTTGATATTTTAGCACCACCCCACGCAGGCCCCTCATTTTTAGGGGTAGGTGGTGGAGGAGGGGCAGCCTCTTCCGCAGCCTCATCAAGGGCACCACTCAGAAACAAGGAAAGACCACCTCTCCGATTCTTCTTCTTGGATCCCAGGGTAGAAGTGCTCTTACTCTTCCCTACTAAATCTGCAATATCCGTCTTAACAAGTATAGCATCAGGCACACGGATTTCAGCAACACCCTTCGCTCGTACTGCTTCTTCATCCTATCAAACAGTATAGATGTGAGTGGTTACGAAGACTTGACAGTGTTAAATATTCACTTCACCATTACCATTAGGACAAGCAAACAATACTTAGTAACCAAAAGTGTGAAACTCACCTTATTTGTGGAGCCTGGAGACATCTCAGCCTCCAAAAGAGGTATTATGGGCCCCACCTCTACCTTATTTCCATTAAGACCTGATCTCATCTCATCTTCCTCACCCTTGTTCTTGCTTTTCCTATTTTGCTTTCTTGATGCCTTCAACTTTTTGTTACTGCCCTTCATCACATCAGATGAAGCAGCAGAAGCCGATGCCTTGGCATCTACCATCTCCACTGGAACCCCAAGCTCAGCAAGCGAACTCTCAATGACAGACCGTGTTTGGAGCTTTGCAATTTGCTGGTTATCAAGTTGATAGCCCTTAAGTTGCTTTTCCTCCAGCATCTCAATCTGCTGCAACTTCTTACGCAGAGCACGAACTTGTTTCAGGTGTTCCTGATCATCCTTGGGCATAGGATGGAGAAAGGAGGAGTCTTGCCTAGACTCCACTTCAGGTCCCAAAAGAACAGGTTTGTTAGCGTACTTTTCCCGGGTTCTCATAGCCTCACTCTCACTATCATCCTCTTCACTGTTCACAACAACTGAAAACGAGGCTGTTGGAGTTGGAAGCCTCCGGTAGCTCCATGGCTCGGATGACCTTTGATCCAAGAGAGTTTCCAGGCCAGCCAGGATTTCCAATGTTGTGGCAGTAAAAGCACGTGATGAGAAGGTCAGAAGATAGTCCAGGTTGTGAATTGCAATGTCCTGCAGGTGACGACCAAAAACCAAGGAAAATTAAACTTCAATTTAGTACAAAGGAAATGAGCGCATCAGCCAGTTCCAGAATAAATACTACAAACCATGCACAATTTACCCTGTTCTGGAAGAAAAGGTGATTATAGAGAGGAGGTAATTATTTGAGGCAAAAGATCGTTCGAAAAGGGTGAAAGTGGTTGGGTAATCATGTTGTTCGGGAAGGGTAAAGTGGAAGGGTGGAAATGAGGTACCAAAGGGATATTTCTCTTTAAAAGAAGTAGCTTTTCTATTTTGCTACTCAATTTGAGTTTCAACTGAAACAGTGTTCTCTTACACACCCCCTCAATGCAGCACCTGGTCTCCCTATCAGGTAATAGTGGGGGACTTTCCTCCCCTTAATTACACCCTCCTTTGACTCTTTCCAGAACGCAAGGTCAAACACTAGCAAATAGAATAAGAACTACAGAAGGATGTACCTCACAGTGCTTCTTCAGATCATCGGCCTCAAGAGTGTCGGCAATTTCAAGCATCTGTATCGCATTTCTTGGCTCAACTAAATTATCTGCTGCCGACTTTTCACAGAGAGATTTCAAACTTGGCACGGGCCTTTCTGAAGCACTCTTATTATTTTCATCAACACATAGCTTATGATGCAGCTCAGTATTGTCAAAAAGGAAGTCTTCGAGCTCTTCCAGTTCATCCTCATTCTCCGACTTCTGTCTCTGAGGAATCTTGTCAGCATTAGGGGGATAGGTAGGATGATAGAGAGAGCTAACAGCTAATAGATGAGTTTCTCCAACTACAACCGAAGTGGCCCTTTTGACACCATGCAATCGAGTGGGAACTGGTGATTTATCCTTGACATGCTTACTGTCCCATGTGTAGATATCACCTGTATCTGTAACTGCTGCACCCCAGTACTTACCAGCAGATACACTAACAATACTTTTCCCAGTGAGTGAATGCAGCTGCAACAGGAGGATGAAATCAGAACTCACTCTAAGCAAGTTGAAGTTTTTAACTCCAAATCTGAAAATGAAATACCTGCTGGCATATAAGATCAGGATCTGCAGAGACCCAATAAAACAGGGCACCATCATCCATAAGGGCCAAACTATGCACCACCCCAGCAGCAATTGCTACTGCATGAAGCCGCTCCATGCGATGGAACTTCAAAGGGGCAGCCCCACTTTTCTTCAGATTTCGTGAAACAATAACACGTCTTGGAGTAACAAATCGATGCCCCCAGGTGTAAACCTATCATTACATATTAAAGATAATTTTAGTTATTATGCCTAAAAAGATATGTGATGCGAGCTAGCCAGCCAAGGAAAACCGAACACAACACAACGACATAAAAATTGGCTCCATCTACTGGTAATTGCAAAATACAGCAGTAAAGTAGAAGCAGCAGCATTACCATTATGCTTTAGACCCTACCATTGAGTGGAGCTAAAAGTAAGCGGGCAAAGGTAGATTACCTCACCATCATTCCGTAAGACAATGGTATGAGATTTTGCTGCTGTAACTCCAGTAAAAACTTTCCCTTTCAGATACTCAACTATCCTTGGAGTGTAATTAGATGCCGAGTTAGATGTACCATAACCAAGCTGACCATCCCTATTGCAACCCCATGTGTAAACTTCACCAGAGTCAGAAACCACAGCACTGTGTTTGTTTGCTGCCGCAACAGCAACGATCTTTGACTTAATGGAACTCACTCTGCGAGGTGTCGGTTGAGTATCCACAGTGTAACCCAGCTGACCTTCTGTAGAAGTTTTATTGGAAGATGGCATGTTACACTTCATTCTGGCAGAATATAACAAAGAAATATATACTTCTCCACTACTCTTCCAGATTAATATTGTTTAAACACACATGTCAAATAGTTCCCCACACTATACCACTGGACATGTTGACTATGCTAGTGGCTTAGACAAGTTATTGAGAATATATAGTTGCAATAGACAGGAAACAAAAGGCAGGTGTCCAAAAACCAAATGTCTCACAGCATACAGAGAGCAACATATTGTGTACCTCTGTTAGATCCCCAGGTGAAGACTTCCCCACCCTCTGTTGCAAGAACTGTGTGATGTTTAGCTGCAGCAATTGCTCTTACACGGCGACAGCCTATTCCAGAAAGCACCTGACGAGGTGTGATAACAGCTGCTTGGCCACTACACACGTAGAATAAAAAAGAATTGATTCAATAAATGGAAAAAGAAACAGAAGACAATGATATCAAGGGTGTGACAATGATAATGATAGTTTGCAACATCCAGCAGTTACTAACCTATGGATATCAAAGTCCGGATGTCCAAGTCTGCCCCCTCTTCCAAATCCCCATGTATAGACTTCTCCACGGTCACTAACGGCTATACTATGAAACTTTGCTGCAGACAACAGCCTAATTACAGACCCGTGAAGTGCATCAACCTTGCAGGGCAGCTTTTGTATGTCCGAATTTCCGGTTCCTAGTTGATAATTGGCACCACTTCCCCAACTATACACCTCAGTGGCTACAAAAGAGAGAAATAATGGTTCAACAATTCTCCAGAGGCAATGAGGCTAATTTTAATTATAATGACAATATCCATAGCACATGTCATGATATGGGGATGGTACCCGAGTTACATTCATCTCCAAGAACCTGAGCAACAGGTCCAGACAAGAGATCAACCGGTGTACGGAATTTAGAGTCTTCTAAAGTAATACAAGCTCCAGACTGAAGGAGCACATTTGCAACTGCAAGATGACCAAAATGCAGAGCCCTGTGAAGACTACTCCATCCTGATTCTCCATCCTGAAATAGATTATGTGGAGAATCATCCGAGGAGGGTCAGAGCAACACTTGAGTGCTATAAACCCATTTCCAGCATATGACATTTGAAGGACAACAGAACTGGACCATCTCCAACCAGCTCACGACAAACTAGGCTAACAAGTACATTTTATATTTCAAATGCGATCACTGAAGTAATGAGATGACATAAGATAGTCGAGAACTTCCTTGTTCTCAGAGGAACTGAAGGCAGCTAAGGAAAGGGGAAGTAACATACCCTAGCATCAGGATCAGCACCAGCAGCAAGCAGCCTCCTGACAATGGGAATGTGATTTCTCCAAGTTGCAATATGAAGGGGTGTTAGGCCCATTGCATTTCGTAAATTAATATTGCCCCCATTTTTCTTTAGCAATGCCAAAGCAGAATCTACATCAGCCAAGGACCCTTCTCGTACAATAAACCACAGATCTTTCTGAGAAGTCGAAGGTGAAAGTTTCCGAGCAGAACCTTGTACAGGTTGTTTTTGTCCTTGAGACATAACTAGTTTCTCAATTTTATCTACCTATTATGAACTTATCTAAGAGTCCTATCCCTAACACTTCACAATCGTATATTTACACCTAATCTACAGTGCAATTATAACTATCACACACCCTTCCGCGAATAATTTACAGGGCAAAGCAGAGGCTGCATAACATGAATCACCTAAACAATAAACCAATATGACTGATTATTTCTCCTCGCTGTCACGAATCTTCCAGTAAAAGGATGAAGAGTTCCATTCTAAAACATAAGGATTCAAAAAAATCTTTAAACTATCATTCTCGTCAAGATCACTGTCATCAATACACAGTAATTCCAGCAACCATTGACAAGCTCCCATGAAAGTTCATTGATAATGGAAACATCCTCGCCACATCCTCCAGATACTACACGAACAATTCCCATGTCAGTATGATAGGTATATGCAAAAGGAGATGGAAATGAACAAGTTAACACACCGGAATGACAACATGAAAGGAAATAGGATGGATTTAAGTCTTAAAAGCATTCAGCCTCAATTCTCTACACGTACAATTGGATAAAATAAAAGGGGACAAAAAGAGGGTAAATTGTTCTTTTATCTTCCAAAGCATATATCCTTGTTCCCTACAATTGAAGTTACTACCATTTCATTTGGCAAGCAAAGATATGAGCACAGTGGAATCATAACAACAGGGAAATAGGAAGTAACTAGAACAACAAGAGCTAGACGTACATTTGGATAAAATAAAAGGGGAGAAAAAGAGGGTAAATTGTTCTTTTATCTTCCAATGCAAATATCCTTGTTCCCTACAATTGAAGTTACTACCATTTCATTCCCTCTCTTGGCAAGCAAAGATACGAGCACAGTGGAATTGTAACAAATTTAGCAACAGGGAAAAAAGAAGTAACTAGGACAACAAGATCTAGACATTGCTGCTCTCATAAACATTCAATCAGCTTCTTACAAGGAAACAGAAAATCTGAAAAACACATTCCCCATTAAAATTGCAAGACACAAAGCTCAACAATAGAACAAAGAACCTTAACATGGTAACCCCATACCGAAATGGGGATGGAATCAAACAGTCAGAAATCACCCACGTAAAGCTTCACAAAGCTAGCTCCATAGATCACAGACAACTGATCGTGGAAATCACAGAGAACCAAAATGAAAAGACTCGATCTTGAACAGACCCTTAACACCAAAAACGCCCAATATTGCAGAGATCCAGCCTACCAATCTATCAAGGCAGATGCGACAAAATCAAATTACACCCAACAATAACTGGCAGACGACATCAACCACAGCAGAAGTCATAAAAATCGAATGCAAAACGAACACGGAAACTAATTTATCCTTGAAATGGCTCCAAAGAGCAGAGCAGAGCATCGCTAGAGACCCATTCCCACCATAAATGCCACACTAAGTACAAAACAACAAAAATAACGATTCAATTCGCCAATGGAAATGAAACTACCCAATTTGGGGCATCATCCATCCGACGAACCTTCAGATTTCTGACAAAAGAACACAACCCTGAAACTGAATCCAAATGAAGGAGGAACGCAAGCAATCGGAGATGAATTTTTATTTTCCACATTACCTGAGACTTGTGTTTTACTGGAAGATGAGACAGAGAGAGAGGAAGCGTACAAGAACGGATAAAAAAATACAGAGAAAAGGAGAGGGGGGAAGAAGAATAAGGAAAAAGGTGTGGAGAAGAAAAGTGAAGAAGAGAGGATTTGCTAACTATAAAAGAAAGCGGGGAAATTCGCTCTCGACCGTGGCTTTGATTTTGTTTTTCTTCCCTTGCTTCTCTGGTTACCTAGATGAAAAGGAATTGAACCAGCGAATATACCAGTACCACAATTGGTAACGGAGACGGGGTAGCCAAAGGAACGACGTCACCGTAACGGGCAATCGACGGAAACACGCCTCCTCCCAAAGAAAACCACGCCTAACGCCACGTCAGACGGAGAGGCGTGTCACGAGAGAGCTGTCGGGGCGACACGTGGATTAAAGGACGGACGAGAGGATCAGCATTTCTCTCTCTCTCCGGAGAAATATGAACTAGGAGGCGGTGATTGGTCAGAAATAAGCGGTGGGTCCGTGTGGTGGCTTTTTAGCATATCAATTTGACACAATTGTTATGGGTTAATATTTTCGTATGACCTTAACTTTGACCAAAATAAACATCCTGGCCAATCTTTTCGATCTATAACATCATGGCCCGAACTATACACCAAAATAAACAATTTGGCCAAACCCGATGTTTGACCGTTAACTTGGACGGTCAAACGCGTTGACTAACAGTCAACGCGCCACGTCAGTGCCAAGTCATAAGATCTGATAAATATTTAATTTTTTTCGTTTTTTATTTTTGGTTTAACTAAGGTATTAGATGATTTTTTTTAATTTATAATAATTTAAAATTAGAGAATGTGTGGAAATTGTGAATTATTTTAAATATTTTATGCTGACTTGGCAGTGACATGGCGTGTTGACTAACGGTCAACGCGTTTGACCGTCCAAGTTAACGGTCAAAAGTTGGATTTGGCCAAATTGTTTATTTTGGTGTATAGTTCGGGCCAGGATGTTATAGATCGAAAAGATTGGCCAGGATGTTTATTTTGGTCAAAGTTCAGGCCATACGAAAATATTAACCCCAATTGTTATCTACTATCTACACATAATATAATACCCCGAAGGGAAAAACGGGAGCCCCATTTCAAATTTCCTGCAATGAGAGTGAAAGTAGGAAGGACATTTTGGTCTTCACAATTACTTTTTTTTATTCATTAAAAAGATACATACTGGGATTCGAACCATGACCATTTTAAAGAAAGGCAAAGATCATAACCAATCACACTAAATACATTTGTTGTATCTTTTTAAATTAAAAACATATAATAGCAGGGTGGGAAAAACTCTTCCCCTATTTCAAATTTCCTATTCCAGGAGCGTTTGTAGGAATGGTGGAATAGGGAGTGTCAATTTTTTTCTCTTTCCTCTGTGGAACGGGCCAACTTACGGTACACATGCGGATTTAAACGGGTCCAGGAGTGTCAATTTTTTTCTTTATACCCTTTTATTTCTCCGTGGTGATAAAATATATATGAAAAGGAAAAAATAATACTCCTTTTTATTATTAAAAATAAAAAATTTAACAATAAACTAATGCATGGTATCTAATGGGCTAACCGCTAAACATAAAACAAAAGAGTTGAATGAGCCTGACCTACATGGGATTTGGTCATCAAGTAAAACAAATGAACATCATTGGTTTGCCATTCTAAAACAAGCTATTTTCTCTGACATAATATATATATGCTATTATTTTATATCTTAGTGGCTAAAATATAATGTATTTTAAAGTTATTCAATGGTTCAACCTCGACCAACCCAATTAGTCCAATTTTTATCATTTCAAATATATATTTTATAATTATTTGACATCATAATGATCAAATTATAGTGTATTTTATAGGGAATCGTTTGGTATTTGTTAGTAAAAAACTAAACATAAAGATCTATTTGGTTATTTTAAACATTAAAACGATCCTAAACATTTTCAGTTCCTTTTGAATTTCTATGGTTTTATTCCCAAATAAGTGATGTGCAAATGGCGAATTGTAGTCGTCTCTTTTCTTTCACTATTTTTTATTTTCAAATAGAAAGTTTAAAAGTAAAGAATAATTAGAATTTGGCATGGGTCGGTCAAACAGGTTGAATTTCAAGTTTTGGCCTGTTTGTTTTATGCATTGCAAATTTATTAGCATGTTGATGGAAATGGCTTGGAAAAAAGACATATAAGTTGTACCTATGCAGAAATGTCCTCAAATGTTTGAATGCTTTGTGAATCAGGTTCTGTGACTTTTGTGATGGTGTATGTGCTTGACGATTGCTCGATGTTGTAACTACTTAATTTGAGAGTAAATCTTTTGATTTTCCCTATGAGTTGTGATACCAGTTCTGGTGGTTGCAGTATGTTGTCGTTGTTGGCCTGTAAAAGTTGTTCCGTCGTGATGCTAAATACCTTTCTTTCTTTTTTAACAAATTGTGTAGTAGTGCTATTAAACAGACCACCCATGAACGCTACGCTTATTATGGTCTTTTCTTACTTCCGGTGGTGAGAAATTGTGAATTGAGAATCATATTCGCCTACCGCACTGTGTCTGGCTGGTGGCTGCTTACTGTGCTCTCTAGAGTTATGAAACAGACTACCCATGAACGTTACCCTTAAGAGTCCATAACTTTGCGTAAACCCAAATTTAGGCAATCAAAGGTGGTGGATGTGTGATTATTTTTTATGGCTTAATGGTTTGTGAATTGGATATCTGATCTTTGTATGATTAGAGGGGGTGTTTGCTTAATAGAATAATCCATTTTAATTCATGTTTATTTTTAACATGAACTTTAGTAACTCAAAACCTTCGAGACACATATCACATACTGCATTGTATCATTTTGCCTGGGTGCTTGCTGCGTTGTCAAACTTCTTTGCTGTTGCTGCATTTACACTAACAGGGGAGTTAAGAACCCATGAATGTTTCCGTTTGACACAAATAGGAGGACTTGCTTCTAAACCGTACACTAAAGATGATTGGAGGAAACATCTCTGTTGCAGTTGATATACTGGAGACCAGAACAAAAGCAACGTATAACATCAAAACGAACCATCTGAACTATTAGCATTGTTGCTTTACTCTTTTTTCGTGGTTGAGTCTCCTTCAAAAAATTTAGTTTGATTTTAGAAAATTTTGCTTCTGCAGTCCTGTCTTGCCACCAACGCGTTCAGTAGATGGAGATGGCAGAGGCGAAGGCTATTTTTGTGTTGTTGTTGCTGGTTTAGGGATCGGTTTGTGAAGAAGAGGGAGAAGAGAGGGGGAAAGGGAAATGCAGGAGAGGGGGGATAACTCTTTTCTCCGACAAAATTGGAGTGAAGAAAGGAATTATGATCAGTAAGGATATGGTTATCTTACATAACAGTCTCTATTCTGTTTGAATTGAGCTTGGTAGGCAGTGATAAGGACGAGCTGCAACCAATTCATAGTGAGAAGAGAGCTATGAACTGTGATCATGTCTTATTTCAAGTTATAAGGTAGTTTCAGTATAAGGATTATTTAATTTGACAAGTTGTTTCGTCCATGATTCTTGGTAGTTTCATTGCCATTCTAGCCATTGTTTAGTCTGTAATTTTTTAGAATTGATGTGCGAGTAATGACTTTCACTTAGCTTCAACTATTATGTGTGTACTTATTGGCATGTGATAGAATTCTCTTTTCCTTTTCTTTGAATTCAGTTTCATAGTCTAATTGTATCTTTTGTACATAGGCAAATCATGCTCGAGATGACAACTCGCTTATATGGCTAGTGCAAGGAATGAAGCCATCATTAGAATTCATACCAACAACGGGGAGGGATGCCCAGGACTAATTCAATGATGATTGATGATGGTATAATAAAAACTGCAGTCTGCATCAGCACCAATTTCTAGGCCTAAGTAAAGTTATTCAACCCAGAACTCTGCTTAGCGCTAAAAATTGCCCTCACCCAACCTTGATCCTGTCACACTTCTGAAGAGTCAAGATATATGACTAATCCTCTCCGTTCGTATTTTCTTATTGACTCTTTCTGACCCTTTAGGTTTGGGCGGGTCGGGAAGAATCGGATTAGTGGGTCGATCCTAATCAAGTGGAATCCCAATCCCTTCACTCTCACTTGCTTTCTCTCCCATTCCACAAGTGGGTGACATATAGTAATCCGGCCAACGGGCCGGGTAATAAGCTAGTATTTTAAGATAATTGGATTAGATTGACTCGTTCAGTCGTTTGAAAGTAGAAAATTTGAATGAAGCAGTTTGGCTTTAGGAATTTCGAATTGCATCGTTTTGAGTAGAGTTGTCAAAATGTAACCCGATCCGAGTAACCCGCCGATCAATTCGATCCGCAATCCGATTTGACTAAAAGTCAATGACCCGTAATCCGTCCAACCCGCAACCCGATCAACTCGCAACCCGACCAACCCGCAACCCGATTTGACTAAAAGTCAATGACCTATAATCCGTCCGATCCGCAACCCGACCAACTCACAACCCGATCGACTTGCAACCCGATCAACCCGCAACCCGACTAACCCGAATCCGTAACCCGACCAACCCGCAGCCCGACTATAATAGAAGGAATTCGATGAAGATAAACTATAATTTGACATTTGAAATCCTAGTTCACTAAAGTCTGATCATTACATCATCAATTATAAACTTAGTATAATAAATTAATAATATACATCATCAACATATTAATGCATATAACATCATCAAATATTGTTTAGATACATCATCAACCTAATAGTGCACATAACATTATAAAATATTAATTTAGCATAATAAGATAATTATAAGATTTAAAATTCAAATATCATGGTCCTATAAAGTCTGATCATATAAAAAATGCATGAATCATAATAGTTCATATTGTCTCAAGACCTCAAATATCAATAAAACATGTCCAAAAAACAAATTGACATTCCAAATGACGATCACACTTGGAGAAGTCATAGACACACCACTTTGAGTAGCTGAAGTGACTGATTGATTCTTATATTCTTCCAAAAGCAACTCCAAATCACACCACTTAGGATTATGATCTCAAGAGTGAAGAAGAGTTTTGAAACTCCAAGTTAGTGAACAATAGAGCGCGGCCTTACTACGAAAAAATTGGAAGTTTTTGAGCTACCAAAATTAATCCAGCTTCATTTTTCATCTTCCCTCCCAACAGAACAAAAAAAAGCCCGCCTTTTCACAT